TTTTATTTAAGAAAGGACTTGTATCACTGAAGTTCCTCTGAAAGAATTTTTACGGAAATTAACAAACGATCAGAGACGTAACAATATATATTTTGCGGTAAAAGTCTGAAGAGTGAGTTACTCTAAAATTAAATGCAATTTTGTTTATTTTTTGGTTAAAAATAATTTTAATAAAGATATACAAATATTCAATAAAGTTTAAAATAACCAGCTAAAACGAAAAATTAAATTTTTTATGAAATTTATCAGTGAAAATAAAATATATTTACATAGTTTATTTTACATATATGTATTAATTTATTTGTAGACATAGTTTTAGAAATAATACAGTGTCTCTAGGAAAAATAAGAAGTTAAAGTATACAACTTAAAATTCTTAATATTTTGTAATTTCAAATTTTCTGTATTTTCGTTGAATTTGTTATTGAGTCACCTGGGTGAAAGAAGTAGGACAGATCAGCTGTAAACGGAGAAAGGAGTTAGAGAAGAAAGGTTTATTTTTCTGATGCTTGAATTATAAATTTTCTTCAATTTATTTAATTTTTTTGTACAATTACAAGGTATTTTGTGTTTAATTTTAGAGTTGTTTTCCTATGAGGTGCTATTATTATGTAATCATTTTTAGCGTATGTATATAAAAAGTTGCATATTGTTACGTTGATTTCTGTCTGAGTCTGACTAATGTAATTTCATAAACCAGTTAAGTAGTATCTAATAATAATATTCACTAATAGTTATGATATTAGCAACTTTTCATTATTTATAGTTTAGAACTTTTTAAAATTATAAGTTTTCGTATTTAACATACAAACTTGTAGTTATACGTTATTGGTTATGTCTGCAATTATGAAATTTATACTCAAAGTCAAAGCAACAGAAATACAACTTACAAGTGTAATATCTAATCTTACCCATCAACTAATGATAATGATAGAGTTTGTTGTAAAATTATAACCATTGTCTTATGAATACATTACTGGTGTACCATCATTGTCAGTGTGAGTGACTGATGAAACTTTCGTAAGCCATACACACTGACAATGATGGTACAGCAGTAGGTGAGAGACTCTGGAGATAATTTTTATACAGCTGCTGAGTATTGACTAGACTGAAATTGATGTATTAATAGGAGTAACCCAATATTGGACACTAAAGTTAGAAAACTGTGGGCATGTTCTGGCAGTTTGTGGTTTGGGATTGCACTTTAATAATATGTGTTGAATGGAGCAAGCATTAGTGTTTCTCTATAATATTAAGGTATTTGAATATGTTAGATTTCATAAAAAAAGCATTTGAAAAGTTGACATTTTATTAATGATTGTTAACATGGTCTTAGTAACTTTTCTGTGTTTATTAGCTTGTTGAAGTTTTTGATAGGGCTTCCACTTTTCTTTTTTTCAGTGATAGCATGATGAAGGCATCCTGATTGGTTTTGTGTATCTTGGTATTCATAATATAGAGACTATTTAAGAAAGTACCACACAGAGAATAACAAGTTGACTGCATAAGAAATTAGTGATCTGTTTTGGACCTTTGATGCTCAGTTTTTATTGGAAGGATTTATATATATTCTTGGATAGTAGTACTTCCAAATGAACTGATGCTACTAAGATTCCTGAAAGTAAGCAGATTATCTTGAGAATATTCATTATGAAAAGAGCCAACTCTTTCACAATCCAAAGAAATCAAGTCAAAACTAAGCCTCTCTATGTAGCTCATTTAATCAAGAAAACCATTCTAGCAACCTTATTCTGCACCCTTTCCAACAAGTTAATATACTTCTTGTAGAAAGTGATGTAAACAAAAATACTCCAAATAATGCAGAAGAAAAAAAAGGCTCTTCTGGGGTGACAGTATATTCAGATGTTAAGAATAGTTGATAATTTAAATAATCATCTGTATGTATTCTATTAGTCATTTGTAATGTTCTAATTCGATAGTTGAATTTATTGTTTGGAAATATAAATCAGATATTAGGGTTAGTAGATATGTTCTTTGACAAAGTTATGTTGTTAGAGGTACTAAAGTTTTAGAGTAACTTGCAGTTAATTTAGATTCATTTAAGTTTTTGCTGGGTAAAGGTAACCTTGACAGTCATAAATAAAATCTTTACCTCCACATTCTCTAATGTTAATTTGAGTTAAAGGTTTTATTAAATGTTTCTAGTTTTGAACAAAGCCTTGAACATTCAGTTTTCATCATTTGACAATATTCTTTTGTTTAGAAGGATGTTCTTTATATTATATTTATGTTAAAAGCCACAGCTATAAAATTCACTTTAAAAGCTCTGTCATAATTTATTATGGCAACATTGATTTTGAATACATATTTCTTTAATTAAAACTTGTTCTGTCATTCTTCATTATAGAACATTGATTTTGAAAATATTTTTGTTTAATTGAAACATATATATGTTAATTTTAAAAGGTCTTAATTTAATTAAAACTCTTGTAGAGTTGTGATATTCAGACAAGTCCGAGTGCTTGCACATAAACAAACTATTTGTGGCCTTGAATTTTAGGCCTGTTGTTTATAGCTGAACAACTTGTAACAACTTGTATTATAATGATTTTTAAAACTGAACAAGTAGGTGACTGCATTAAAGAATCTTGTTAATATTTTTCTTAAATATATTTTAGTTCATTGTAACAATTTACAAACTTGTTAGAATTAATATGAAGAGTTATTGCTTTCAAATCCTTGACACTTCAAAGAAGAAAGAATTATTTAGGAATTATATCAAGAATTGAAAAAAAAACATTTGTGGAAATATGGCATTATGAGAAATGTAATAAAAGTTCATATCAATCAACTTTTCCTTTTAAATCCTCATGAAGAACTTCAAAAAAAGATTTATAATGTGGTTTTTCTTGTATCCAAGTTAATTCATAGTTCTACAGAAAACACAAAATAGCTTATAATTGAATTTTTTCAACCAATTAAAATGTAATGCTCTACCAATATAAAATTATTGGGTTAGGACTTATTTCAAAAATTATATAATTTTTTAAGTCGACAGAACAGTGCATTAGGGAATGAAAGGTAGGTCTATTTTTGTAACTTATTCTGGTACATTATTGATTCAGAAGTCTGTGTAGCATGCACATAACTAAGATTTAGGCTGATTCATGTTTCTTTGACATAGTGTCAACATGTGCCAGGACATTTTAATTTCTTCCATGAAAGCACTGTTTTTAATGTAAAGTTTTTATTAAACATATGTTAGCAACTGAGAAGAACTTGGATCTTAACTGATTTTTATAAGCCATATTTTCTAATCTTGCTTTGTTTGTAGGTTGATATTAAAACTTATCTTAATCATCAGTGAAATTCCCTGATTGTTAGTCTTTTAATTGTTACTGTAAGCCTGCAGGTATCTGAACTATTTTAGTATGCTATTAGCTGTTTTTTCTGTACATTTTGACTAGGTTTATATTGTGCACCAAAATGTTTAGGCCTTAATCTAAAATATATATTTAAAATCAGGTGAACATTTATAAATTGATGCTGGTATTGTGGTGAATAAATCAGGCCTTCAGGAAATGCCCCCTTAATCTTCAACAAGAATTATTAAGTTTTGTCTTCTTTTACACTAATACTAGGTCATTATTATTTGCAAGTTATTTTAAGAATTAATGTTTTGACAAACAGCCATGGGTATATTATTTTTCCTAATAACAAATGTGTTTTCAATCAATGTGTTTAGCAGAAAAGTTTTTTATGGTTAAACATGGTAATAAAACATATCTGTATCATTAATGTATTTTTATTTGCTGGTTGCTAGTTTATTTTGTTTGCTTATCAGAATTTCTTAGAACATGTAAACAGAGTTCATATTTAGTTTCTTACAGCTAATGATCTAAAAGGAATTTGCATTCAAGTGCAGCTGATTTTACTCATTCTAGAATAACTAACTACACGCACACACACACACACACACCATCAAAAGGTTCTTGGTAGATTTTATTTTTTGAAGTTTTCAGATATTTTTTATTAGCACCTAAGCTCAGCGATTGGCTGATTTATTAAATTTTTTATGTTACAATACATTTTCCAAGTTTAACTTCTGAGTCAGGAATCAAATCTTTAATTTCTTTTTCTTTGGCATAGAATAATGTTGTTGTTTCTACTATGAAAGAAAAAAACAGCAACCTAAAATAAACTCTCACCACCTTATTAGGACTTATCTATCTAAATTAACAAAAAATATATGGAAAACGGTATATAGAAGTCAGGCCGAAAAACGTGATATGGATATACCTAACCCACTATGTTTAAAGATAATAAATGTGACTGTAATTGAATTATGTCCATATTGTAATACTAAGATAAGTAACAATTGGCATATGTATTTTAGGTGTATTGCAAAAGAACTTTTATTAGACATGATTTTTAAGATATGTTCAACAATTTTGGGAAGAACATGTAAATTGTATGATTATTGGTATTTATGCTCTTATAAAAGTTGCAATAATTCCAAATTAATTGAGGTATGTACTTTCCTCATTATTTTAGGAAAAAGTATTATATATACACAGCGTGGTCACAAGTAAATAG